TTTTGGGATTGTATGCAAAGTGCCTATTACTATTGATACTACCTTTGCTTATTTTAGTTACGGTTCATTGCACAGCTAGATTAAAATGAACATTTAATATATAGTTGTTTCCCAAGTATAAACATTAAAGTGCAGTTCTGTATTGTTTTTGAACCGTTTTCATTTAGCTAATATTATATGAGTTTGCTAATAAGTTACAATTATTTACTCATCTATAAGATGAGGTCTGATTCATTAAAAAGAACATAGTTAAAACGCCTTGGTGTAGCATTATCTGTGAATGAAGTCATTGGATTTTATCTTGGGAACCTCAAGTGGTCTTCCACATATAAAAGGATGCATTCCAAGTCTTCATTTGCAGCTCCTCAACACCACCCATCAAACTGGATCTGAGGGCTAGGGCTCCCTTAGAAGGATATGAGACATAGTGGAGAATTCTGAAGGACCTTTTGGATGTAAGCACTTTATTTTATCACAATGGACATATTTAAAGATTGAACCATTACTTGGAACTTATGGCAATTATTTAATTGCCCCAACAAAGGGCAATATGCTCTGCTGGTCACCTCCACCAACTGACTTCAGTTTGTTACTTCAATTCTCTGTTCACTTTTAATTGCCATTACTATTGCAAAATATAAAAACCCACAACGGGCCCTTGTACCATGAGATATTTGGTATTTGTGATATCACGAGTCCTTTCCCAATGGGTCAATGCAATAAGCATAGAAGATGAAGAAAAATGGGGGAAATATGAAGTCATGGAAGAACTAGTTGTGGCCTGCAAGCTGCCAGCGGAGCTAGCGGAAGGCTCTGATGGATGCTCAGCGTCAGACACAGAGATAGAGCCAGGGCCGTCCGGCATTTCCCAGTCAGAAAGGCAGCTGCCTTTGGAATCAGAGATGGAGCAACAGCTGGGGTCTGTTCCAGGTGTATGTATGTGCAGAGCAGAAAGGAGAGGTGAACAATGGAGGACAATGAGCTGGCTCAGGAAACAAAAGAAACATGGACACTGACTGGCCCCTCCCTGGCTTTCCTTGGAAATCTTTTGATCACATACAACCTAGTTATCTATACTACCTTGAGATGTTCTGCCTGCTTTTGAAAAAGTAATACCTCAAACTAAGTTGACAAAATAAACTTGTGCCAGATGATACCTTGCAAGCCATTTTAATTTTGCAGTTGTGAAAGGAATGAAACAAGGAAGTTAAAACTATAAACAAAGACTTTTTTTAAAAAAACTGTAGGATACAAAAATCTAAAGTATTTTCTTGGATCTGCTGGTTGAAGACGATGAAAGGGTGGTCAGATAAATGACAATTACATTTTTAAAATCATTTTTCCACGGATACAATTTTGCTCAGCTCTTTGCCTGATTTGGGAATATTTTCTCTTCAGTCAGCAGGAATGGTAATTGAAGCAGTTAATAAAGCAAGGCTTATCAATACATTTTGCCTCATCGCCAGCCCATAGCAACATTGCATTTAAATTCAGGAGATACAACAAAAGAATAATTTACAATTAGATAAGATAGTCTTGGAGAATCCAATTTCACCCTTCACCTCCTTCAGTTCCCAGCCCTCAACTTTGACATTTGCACCAAACATTTGCAACAATGCAAGGCTTTAAATTGTTAATCCTTGCATAAAACAGTCTATCATGGAGTTGATATTCTCTTCCGCAGCTTCTTTTCCACTGGCTGAAGGATTGCCTGAATAGATTTTGATCTGCAGATGTTGCTGCCTGAAAAAAAAAAAAAACCCAGGAAGAACCTCAGATGGTAGAGAGAATCCCCAAACTTAGCACAACTACTAGTTGGAGGGATGGGAAGAGGAAGACCATGCCCTCTCTTTGCATTCCACAGTGACATTCTTTTACCGAATCTGACATGCCTCCTGTGGTGAGAAGGCCGCCTCTTCTGTTTGGGGTGTGTGTGTGCGCATAGTGGATCCTAAGCCAGCCCAGTGTATTGTACTACAGGCTTCTTAATTGATTCAGCATCTATTTTATAATTTGTATAAAGTTGTTTGACTTTACATTTTTTAGGCTTCAGCAATGTGCTGATAGAGTTTAATTTAAAACATTCTGTTTCTTCCATTCTTATTAAGATTAATGCATTTAATACAATTTAAACAAATGGTTTATAAGTGGATAATTTAAACAATTGAGAGAGAGAGAGGCTGGGGGGGGGAGAAACATAATTATACACAACACATTCTTTATTAGAGGAAGGGTTTTTCTTGAAGAGTACATTCTTGCCTGTAGCTAAAATGATTCATCCAGTGAGACATAAAGCTGGAACCTCTTTCACACATTTACTTTGAATAAAAGTGTAAAGCAATGAGAATAGTGTTGAGTGTAAGATAGCACTCATGAGACCAACCCAATTATATGACTATTTGTAAATTGTGATCACATGACCACAGGATGCTGCAAACGGTGGTAAAGGCAGACTTTCTAAATATCCCAAATGTCATGAGACATTTGGGGAGGGAGGGGTTGTCTTTAAGGACTTTGGAACGTTTGGGGGGGTCCATTAGAACTTCAAATAGCTGCTAATGGCCAGTCGTAAATCAAGGACTACCTGTAGATGAATTCATCAGATTTGATCCAACTGAGTCAGTGCAGTCTCAAATTAGATTGTCATCAAAGCATTTCCTGTTGAAACCCATTTTCTACCAGAAGACTCATAATTATCAACTTTAACAAATTAGGGATGAGAAATCTTTTATTGATTGTGGGAGAAAATGCGGGTTGCTTTAAATTTTGGGGAAAGTTCACTCTGCAGACCATTGGTTGGTTTGAGATTTCACATAGCAATATGGGATTGAATTTTTTAAAAATGGAAATGGATACTAATTTGTTGTTCAGTCACTAAGTCATGTCTGACTCCCTGCAACCCCATGGACCATAGCATGACAGGCAAATTCTTTGCTTACTTTGCCTTCCATTTTTAACAAATTTAGTTGCTGTGTGAACTACTGGAGTAACACACCTGCCATTATTTATTTTAAGAAATGTTGGAGACAGCTTGTGTAGTAGTCTCTGTCCTAGTCAGGACAATCCATGAGGTGTGGTGTACTATAGTATTGCAGATATAGACAGCTTGTAGTTATTGAATTCTGGGAGTTGTAGTTCCAATACTTCATGCACCAAAGGCTGTTTAATCTATCCGTAGTAGCTATAAGAAACCTGGAAAAGCCAACTAACATGAACTGTAGAAATCAATTATCTTTTTTCATTTTATTCTTTTCCATAAAAAACACTGCATATAGTGTTTGGGTGATAAAGGCGTTGTTTGGGAAGCCCTATATAACTATGTTGTTAGGAATATAAGTCACCTAACAGGTAGTTGGGTTAGAAATATATAAACCAGGATGACATTTTAAAACTGTATCTTTAAGAAAATGTAAAACTGTAGTTGGGTGTGGTTTCTCAAATGGCCATAAGATGGAGCCAGAAACCTGGGTTGTTTTAGTCTTAGTCTCAGAAGAGAGTGTGTCTGAGTGAGTATCTCTGTTTCCTTCTGTTGGAAAACATTGCCGTTCCTCCATTATTCCTAATTGACTGATATTTCTGGATTTAATGTAAGTCTTACTGAACTGTTTTTTGACACTGGACTTTGATATTTGGATTATCCCTGGATTGAAAACTGACTGATTTAACTTGTGAATGACTTTGGATTGCTAATTTTGGACTTTGCTTAAACCTTTCTGGAAGTACAAACCTACATTTACTGTACAGTGTATCTGTGTGCTCTGTGTGTATTATTCCAACACTACTCTCAAATACGTCTCCCTGTATGCGCTCATTCTCCTAACGGGGAATTACCTCAACATATATTTCTCTGCCCTCAAAAGTATTAACATAGCAAAGGTCAGTGCTTCAAAATGACCAGGTGATTGTAGGCTGCCCCCTTTACCCAAGTTTAATACAGGTAGTTGTCATTTAACATTTAATTAGGATTGGCAGTTTGGTGATTGCTAAGTAAAACTTCATGATTTTACAATCTTCTTTGCTTTACAGACCTGAAAAGGTTACAAATACAAGGACAGGTCACAAAGTTATTTTTCAATTATTTATGTAACTATGGATAGTCACTAAACGTGACAATTGCTAAAGGACTACTTGTAAATACTCTGTCCTGCCATGTCACTCATTTGGAATCCAGTTACTATTGCTGCAGATGCCCTTTCCTGCACGGCTGATACTGTGTTGAAATTATATTCCAAGCTGTTGTGTAGGTCCTCCTGTATCATCTACCATACATATGGGGCATACGATCAAGATAAGGCTTGACTAGTTTCACATTTTTGCTACTTTGAAATGGTTTTAATGCAATATTATGTACATTTATTTATTTATATGAGTTTTGGAAGTTTAAATAGTTCACCTAAACATCAAAAGCTTCTTATAAAAATATCCAAGCCAAGCAACATTATTCTATCAGTAAGAATCTAGGTTTAAATATACCTAGTTGAAGTTAGTCCTATTAAACTTAATTTTCCTTTAAGAAAAATTAAGATGTTCTTTTCTTACCACAGATTTTAATTTGTAGTATAACTAATAATATACGTTGTCTGTCTCCATTATTGAGAATTGGATGGGAGACATATAGTTGCACTTCTGAGTTTTTGTATCAAAACTGGATTATAGATTTTCTTTTCATTTTCATTTGACCTGAAAACTATACTTGAAATAACACCTATGTAACTGAATGGCTGTACTTAAAATCGCCACTTAGCCTCTTTTTAAAGAAATATTTTTTTAAAATAGAAAGTTGCTAATCCCTGGTGAATGTTGTCTTCAAAACACTTCAGTGTATAATAATCTAATGCTAGGGGATCTCTTAACTCATTAGAAATTAGGATGGAATTAAATATCAGTCTGTTTTATTGAAATAGTATAGCCTATAAGATTTCCATTTGGTTCTATATTCCTGATTGTCTGTTTTAACTAAGGAGAATGCAGTGTACTTAATCGTATAATTTTCTTTCTAGTCCCCAGAGGGTGCTGAAGCCAAGGATGCAGCAAAAATAACAAAACAAGAGGCAAGTCTGATTGTTTCAATTCTTTCTTTTATTGATGGCAAGATAATAGAGACAAAAACAATTACATTCCTCTCTGGTCATAGTCCGTCTATCTAATAAAGTGCAGTGGTGCTTTTGTAACAGCTGTTTAACATTTCATATATTTTGTATATTTAAGCAAATCCTCTTCCTTGAAATGTAACATTTTGATAAACAATGTCCTCGTTTACTATCACAATGTCTGATTGATTGGGTAGTACCTGCCTGTCTGTGTGGGTCAGGAAGTCCCACAGGATCCTGCAAGGGCAGGGTCTGCTTCTTTTAGGATCAATAAATGTTGATCCATTGGTTGCCAGAGGAATTGGCCAACCAGCTTGTTGACCGAGCCTAATTGACAGTCTCCTGATTTTTAGCCTCCTACACAGGAGTGAGCAAATGACAAAAGATGCCCATTAGAAACTTCTGTGCAATGTTATGAGGGAAGTTTGAAATGTCAGATATGGCACTGTAAGTTCATGTTTTGTCATTTTGGCATCATTCTGGTTAGGAATAGATGCCCGTGGATAAGCTTAATGTCCTGTCATTTACAGTTGCTTACAACAGTTGTTCCCAGGTGGCCTTTCAAAGTTTTTCCACTATATTAATGGGCACATTGAGAGATAATTTCTTTCCCAGGCAGGAAGAACTTCTTCAATAATTTCCACATGCTGGGGCAGATACCTTTGGCAGTACAGACCTCTGCAAATCACGTTGCCCTAGTGACTGAAATTCAATAAGATTGCCCACAAGAGTCAGAGGCTTGATTTGAGAGAGAGAGAGAGAGAAGATTCTAAGAATACTGAACTTTGTTTCAAGTGAGAATTGCTGTAGTGATCACTATACAAACTACGCTGTGTTCCCTGTTTAGATTTTGAAGCAGAGTTATAGGTCCTTAATGCACACTTATGGGCCCAGTTTGAAAGTAGTGGTATCAAGCAAGGTTGTGGTGCTCCTGACTTGCCCTTCTGACAACTTACGGAGAACATCTCCCAACAGGAAAAGCAAGCAAACAGCTATGTCTTGATCTGTTTGCTCTTTTGTAATGAACCAGAATCATCATGTGCAAATTAGCTCATTGCATTTGGGGAGTATTATGCTCCCAAATCCCAAAATATAGATATTTGTGCTATTATATAACTTTCTCCAACTTGCTCCCTTCTAGATGTACAGGGAGCTATAGAATGCACAGAGAGTTCAAAGGACTTACATGCACATTGATTTAGTCGTTCTTATCATCTCTAAAGCAGATTGGTATCATTAACCCCCTTTTGAAATGGTTTGGTGGGATATCAAAGAATATTCACTTGTGTAAGAAACTTGCCCATGAGAACTCAGTGAAGTGGGCAGTCATAGCCTCGTATATCATGACTAGATGCCCTCATGCTCATGTATACCATGAGAGGTGAGAACAAGAAAACCCAACAACCCCTTTATATTCCACTATAGAGATTCTTTGCATACAAGTACAACTGTCACTGTAGACAGGATCAAAGGCCAACGGCTTAAAAAATCATTTGAATCAGAGGTGGTATTCAGCAGGTTCTGACCAGTTCTGGAGAACCGGTAGCAGAAATTTTGAGTAGTTTGGAGAACCGGCAAATACCACCTCTGACTGGAGATTTTACAGTATCCTTCCCCTGCCACGCCCACCAAGCCACACCCACAGAACCAGTAGTAAAAAAAATTGAATTCCACCACTGATTTGAATGTTCACAAGTTGTTTTAATATTTGCATGGAATATACAAGTTCCATAGTCTTAGTGTAAGCTGCTGCTATTTTTAAACTCGGTTTTGAAAATATAACTTCCTTATTTTAAAAGCAGAAGGAATGTGCAAATAAGCTTGTGAGAGATAGAATGCTCTTATCTCCAAGGACGTGTCTGCTCTGCAAGAGAACTCATTCCCATCTGGTATAAAGTTAGTTCACTCCATTAGTGAACTGAAGCAGCTTAAATGAGGAATCTGTTTCTCAGACTTAGAATTGTCCCTCATATTGGAATCTTTTGGAAATAACTTGAAGTAGCTTTTTTCTGCTTGTCACACCTTTTTTAAAGAATCCCCCCCCTCCCACCAAGAATACCTCTACTGCATTCGTTTGCATGGTTTCCAATTATAAATGAAATTGATTTTAAGGGAAACGAGACAGAAGCTCCATTTGGTAAAAATAGCAGCAGCAGCAGTAATATCAGAAGACTGTCTTGAAATAAGTATTTCTATTACAGTACAATTGTATTTACTTTGCAGCAGGGCCAACATAAGCTAAGATTAGCCTTGACCCTTGGAGGGAAGGTATGCTGGATATATTTACCACCTTGAGTTATTTGTAGAAATAATAAAGGTGGGGTATAAATAATCAAATAAATAAAACACAAGTAGGGATATTGGGTAAAATACTGTTAAGAGGTGACACTGACCTAGAATCTTCTAAAACAGAATCTTCTGCACTAATATCTGTCGGAATATCACTTTATATACTCAACTAAGTAGTTTTTCTGTGGAAAATACAAAGGCTTGAATTTGTATGCGCTATCACAACATAGTATGTAACAAAACATATTTTGATCATCTCTGCAGTGCTCCCTTTTTTTCCTGAAATACCCATGAATACTCCTGAAATTGCATGTTATGCTTTGGCAGCTAAGAAAATTCATTTTGGAAAGATCTTATTGATAAGATGTGTAGAAGGAGTAGGGAATGGCCCTGAAGGATAGGGGGAAGAACTTGCTACCAAGACAGTAGTTAGATAAGCAGGGCTTGAGCCAGGCCTTCAAAATAACTTGAGAAAATATTTCACACAAAGTCCTTCCAGGTTCATATGAAGATAAACAGAAGTACATTCAGATTTGCAAAACTTCTGTTACTGAAACTGTTAAAATAAAAATAATCCTGACCTATATGGCATTGTTTTCTAAGTCTCATATACCTTGTATATGACAGCAGGGAACCGCATCAGAACACATATATTTTCTTCACTATGAAGATTACTTATAGTTCATAGGAAATTCATTCAAGTGACAAAACATCAAGCAAGCCCTAATTAATGTTTACAGGTATTTTTTTTTCCTTTTTAATCAGATTTTTTAACCTTACATTCTGAGAACAAAACAGTACAGCTCCTGCTTGTTTCACAGGGGCTCATTTCTAGGTTGTTCTTTCCCTTAGTTCAGTAGAACATAGGTTTTATGACAGATTTATTTTTGAGTTAATGGTCCATTAAAGAACATTTGATTGATGTTGCTTTTAATAATAAAGTGATAATGGGCATATTTGACCAGGATATACTGAAAAAATGTCTCCAGATCAGCTGAAATGAATGCATGCTTTTTATTTTTAAAAAACACTGACAATTTGAAAGCACATTTTAATTTACCAAAGCAACTTTCCTGAATAATTAACCATGAATTGCCTCTCTTCTTAATCAAGCCAGTGTTCTCTAGGGATTGTTTTTCTAAAAAAAAACCTTGTTATTTGTATGAAACTAGAAATGTAAAAATTTGTGATGCTAACTGGATTAAGCTGGGTTGTTCATGTGCATATATTTTCAATATGTCCAGAAGTATGTAAGGTTTTATTTTATTTTTGGAATGTCTATGAGTTAGCCAAAACCAGCAAATTGTTTTTTTAAAAAAAAGCTGAATTATTAATTTGTTGCAATTAAATAATAATCCTTTTTCTGATAAAGGATCCTCACTGTAAATACACACTCACACACACACAACAAACACATAGGATCTCCATTTAACTATAATAGTTACTTTCATTACAGTGGAGAAACTTGCACACAATTTTCCCTGCATACTACTAGTTTTAAATGCACATTTAGAAAGAAAAGTGCATTTTTCAAAGCGATCTTACATTTGTGTGACTTTAAGAACTGGGGAATTGATACAGCATGAGTCCACTGGTAGAACAGCTGTCACATCTGTCCGCTGCATAGACCCCAAAAGGGAAAGACTAACAAATACAATTTCTGAGACATTGTACTGAAATAGCTGCCAAAGTGGCAACATATTGGACATTTAACTGATTATCATTTTTTGTAAAACATTTGTTTACACTGTCACTGTCACTTCAACTTTAAACTAGTTTCCAAAATGACTTAGGAAAAAATGAGCTATTCTAATGTCAATGAAAAGCAGAGGCCTCCTTCCTAGGAGCAATATATATGGAACAGGTTTGTAAGGCCCTGGATAGTCTCTCCTGCAAGTTAGAGGCAATCAATTCCAAGGCAGTGGTCTATTTTACAGTCAATGAATGAAAATGATGGAAATAAAAATTAGTAATTACGTTTAGGGAAAAATGTATTAAATAGATACCAGTACTTGCCATGATGTGCTTAGGATAATTTTACTAAAGTCACGCTCTATTCCAGAAGGAATGGGTCTATACGCAAGCAATACAGCAATAATTTAATCTAATTTTAGAAATAAGAAACACAATTCAGACTGTTAATGGTAAGATCTGTAACAGCCTATCCCAGCTTGATGGCTACAATTCTCAAAATTCCCCACAAAACTGAAAGGCACCTAACTAGGCAATATCATTTTTAGCATAGCAAGGAAGTTTAAAAGCCTTGCCTGGCAGAACTGAATTTCAAGTTTCAGTCTGCTTTTTTAATCCTACTCCATGAATGTTAGTTAGAAGGTTTGGGGGTGACAAATCGAGAAAAAGAGTATTTGAAATCCTGGGGAATGGTGCCTCCAGTGATCTCTTTCAATATTAACAAGCAAGTTCTTTCACATGTGAATATTTCAGTGCTACAAATAGGTTGGAACCACAAAGCCAAAGTTCCAAATTCTTTGCAGTATATCATAAAATATATTCCCAAATGTGGCCAGTGGCTTCTGCAGCAATATGTTGTTTCTGAAATTAATGCATTCAGGAACCAGAAGTATAGCAGAAGACTATGGATTTTATAGTTTTGGTATTTTCATTTTGATGTTTCATGTAAGCCATATCATTGGCATAGGTGTTGCCTGTTGCACTAACAAGCTATCTTTTAGGCAGTGCAGCAGGAGTAACACCTTCCCCACTTGGATATGAGCTTGTCTTCTCTCCCATGTATAGTAATGTTACAAAGTGTTATTTTACTAATAGTACATATCCATAATGGTTAAAATGGAAGGGTTTTTTTTCCAATTTCATGGTACATATGTTGTGCATTGATAATAAAAGTTTGATTGATTTGAAAAAAGAATCAAGTGATCCAGATTTATAATATGGTATTTAACTTTTATTTTTGGAGGTCAATATCCTAAAGCAAATCTTTGAAATCCTCCTATTTCATGAATTTTGATTTCCCAAGATTTTCAATGTAAGTTTACATGTAATACTAGCATTCTGTTAGAACTTTTCAAGTTCATAGGCTGTACTCCAAAGGAAATAGTAAATCAAACAAAAAAATATTGATAGCTATTGTCACAAGTACCAAATATTAATAACCAGTGCTACTTAGACCAGGGGTCCCCAGCCCTGGGCCATGGCCCATTGCCAGGTTGTGGCCAGTTCAGAAGTGAGCCATGTAAGCAGTGGGCCGGCTGCTTTAGACTATGAAATAAAGAAATTATATTTCAGCTATTTGTGTCTGTGTCTATCTGGATTCATCCTTCCACTATCTAATGTCTTCTAGATACATTGAACTACAACTGTGCTGCATGGAGTTGTAGTTGATCTCACTGGAATATTCCAGGTTGGGAGGGGAAGGCTGGTTTATGCAAGATATTTATTACCTGTATCTTATCTTGTGTTGGAACATTAATAAAAGATGTCATTTTTCAATTTTAGAAAACTCCAGAAGTCACATAGCAAATGTTATTTGGCTATCAAAATAATAATTGAAATACTATTGATTTGCACTGTACTTTTGAGTGTAATCTGTCAAATCTTTAGCCCTGATCCTACCACAAAAGATTTCCATTACAATGGAAAGAAAAAAAGGAAGGTAAAATTTCCAAGAATAACAATTAAATTATCCTATTAAGTACATTGCATGTATCTAAAATAATGTAAATACTTTAACATAAGATGCAAAAGGCTTCTGCTGCTTTTGATGCATATTTTATTTTATTGGCAAATGAACGACAAACTCCCAATCCCCTTTTACCTGAATCTACAAAGAGATTTTGCTTCTGTTTTATAGCCAACAAGACGATCTGCAAGATTATCAGCTGTAAGTATTTATAAGAGTTATTTCTGTAAGTATGAAGCTCCACTGTCTCTTAATCCAATCCATGCAATGCTATATGAAGATATGTAAGATAATCATATCTTAATTTTTTAACTACCCACAAGAGAGGATAATGTACATTAAGTCTTATCTGAAATAACCAAAGATTGCTGCATTTTTCACTTCCATGAACATTCCAAGTCCCAAAGCAGTTTGGTACAGTTGAAGTTTATTTTGAAGTTGAGAACACTGGACATCTAGGACACTGTTATAACATTTACTACATCTATAAATATACATACAGAGCACACCTGATTGGGCAAATACAAACTCTCCTGCACATTTAATCAATAATCTTGAGATTTGCAAAAAGTTGAATTTCTTACTCAAATCTTTGCCTCTTTCTTCCTAAGCTCCAAATTAATTTTCTTCCTTTGTTTGGATGGAATGTGTCTACCCCCAAAGACTAGAACAGAGGTCCCTTGCCTTTTTGGTTCTGGGGAAACACTTGGTTGTTTGTGTAGATGTGATGGCCAGCTCAGTCCAATGGCTGCAGGATAAGAAAACACAATCTAACTGCCTCAGAAGCCTGGCTAGCCACAGCCTTTTATGAAAAACTCCTTTTGTCTTGTTTCTTCTTCTTTCTTCCTGCTGTCTACTTTGCCTTTTGGCCTTAAATGGCAGCATCAACCAAAGCAATTTTTACTTTTCTTTTCCCTTTTAATAACAAATAAAAGTAATTATTTGCAGTTATAGTATTGCTGTCTCCCAGCTTTCAAGCTGGAGGTCCCACCCTCACCCTCACCTCAGTTGATACAGATTCAGAATGCAAGCAGCCAGGTCATGAGGCAAAACCTTTCTGGGTGCTTGAGCCAGTCTGGACTTTGGAAATGGTTGGAAAAATAGTCCCAAAGAAAGAAAATGCACAGGCTAGCTCAATTTTCAAAGAAGTTTAAAAGAAGAAAAAAGTTAAAATCCTCTTACTTTCAGAAAGAGACACACGCACATATATTCATGTTTCTAGACCACCATCTCATCTCCTTGAAGAAGGACTCTTGTGTGTACCATGAGGAGTTCTTGTGGACATAATGTGGCCGTAGGCAAAACACTGGGACATTAACATTCCCACAGGTCATCTGACTGGAGACAAATTTCAGGATATATGGAAGACATTGCAGGTCCTGTTAAATTTGGGTCCCATTAAATTTGATTTGTTAAGTCCAGGCTTATTCATAACAAATCAATTCACAGCAATGATGACTAATGTGATAAATATTTGTTGATTATTTTCTTTACAGGAAATAGTATTTTTAAACAAGAAGGAAAAAGTGTTATATCTAGTTCAGATTACCAGGAAGAGTTTCTTGCAAAATATTTATAATTTATAGGAAAAGAAACATCAAATGTTTCTGAAGAAGGTATAGGAACTAATTTTTACATCAGCTCTTTCCTTATTACAATAAGAAGGAAAGGAGAAGGAGTAACTTAATGTTTGTTACTACTTGTGCTAATGATTGCATTCTCTGAATATATTTTCTAGAAACCTTCTCCACCAAAACCTGAGTCTAAACCGAGGAAAAGCGCTAAGGTAAAACACTCATGATTTTTACCATGTGCAGTGAATATTTTCATATTTTCTTAATCATCCTTTTTGGTCTGCTCTAGTTTTAGTCTGTCTGTAAGAAACTCAAAGTGGTATGTGTAGGGCACACTCCTCATTTCATTTTCACACTAAGGATTCTCTTGAGATAGTTTGGGGAGAGAAATAGAGACTGGCCTAAATTCACTCAGTGAACATTGCATTCATAAAGGCTAGGAATTAGATTTCTCCAGTCACCTGATCATTGTTTCAGATTTTTCTCCACCCGCATTTAAAACACAATTATTGTTAACAGTAGAAATAATAATCATGAATTGTAGGTTTTTATGCCAGAAATTATTGCCATGTAAGGCATCATTATGAGCATAGACTATACAGGTGCTCCTTACTTAACAAATATAATTGGAAACGAATTTCTGTCACAAAGTGATGCAGTCACAAAGCATGATGTTAGGTGACAACAAAGCTTAATGATGGAAATTCTGACACTTCTGGTTGCCTTTATTAAGAAACCCCATGCATTTGTTAAGCACAATATTAAGTGGTCACCATTCATGGCCTCCTGTCTTGCCCATTGACTTTGCTTTAGGAAGCCAGCAAAGAAAATGGCAAACAGTGATTATATGACCATGGGATGTTCTGACATTATAATTGTGTTCTGATTGCTGAGCGCCCCCAGTTTGCATTCACTGTCACACTGCAACCATTATAAGTACAAGGACCAGCCATAGTATCACTTGTTCAGCACCATCATCAGTTTGAATATTGAACAAGTGGTCATTAAATGAGGACCACCTGTATCTATACTCAGAGGAGAAAAGACTAATCATTGTGGAAAGTGGAGCAATAAATCAATGTATTCTATTTTATGAAATCATAACTGAGGAAACTGTAGAATATATATTGGACATGGTCTGGACAAGTATATGGAAAGTAGATTAGTTGTATTTTTTTTCTTTCCAAGGTAAAGATGTTATAATTCTTTTTTTAAAAATAATTTTTATTAGATATAAATTTTATTAGATATATGAACGTGGTGTTTCTTCTTTGACATACATTTCTGTCCAATCTTTTAACAGTTAGAAATAAAGAAAAAATGTCAATACATTCATATACACACATACATTTTTATGTATCATTTTTCCAATCATCTTTATATTCCTTTATAATACTTCTCCACAGTTTAAATCTATGAAGATGTTATAATTCTTTATTGCTGATGTAAATGTACAAATTACAAGTTTCTTTATTATGAGAACCCAAACGCATCTCATTCTTATAGGCTACAGAGCTATAGGCCTACCACCTTCTCAACAATTTTCCCCAAAGGGAAAAGTAGAAACTAAACAGAAATCATCCAGTACTGCTGGATCCAGGGATGACTTCTTGGGCAGGGGGGAAACCATTATTTCTTTTAGGGCAGGTGGAAACCTTCCTTTTTGCAAGGAAGCATTCGCCACTGGTTGGACCCAGCTGCTTGTCCGTTCTTATAAACTGTTGACCAACTAGGAAGGACATGAGTGTAGTACGTTGATAATTAATGTGTATTAATATGAAGTATGCCAAGGAAACCCACTGGGTGTTGCTGAGCCAGTTACTATCATCAGAAGGTCTTTTTGAGATAAAATACAAAGAAAAGTGTACTTAGTTCTTGAAGCTCATGGAGCAAAGGCAGGATATAAACATAATAAATATCATAGTTGACAATGCCATTTGTTTTGAGTGCAGCCATGACAAGGTAAGATAATAAGGTGATAAAAGCCTCACAATTAATGAAAGACATATTTTATAAAATAGTTACAAGGTCTACCCTCTATAATAATCTAATTTGTTCTTACAGCTTTTTAAATTCAGTCCCACATTTCACTTAGTCTACCTTCTGCACTTTCCTCCCAAATATTACATCAAAGCTCAAGCTCTCCCCATCTATATATGTACGTACGTATACACGCACACACATATACATAATACACACACACGCACACCTATAAAAATAAAAAGCTTGGCACGGGAAAGAACCCATAGCAGTCCTTTCAATCCAAATACCATGCAAAAGAAAGCAATTTTAAAGAGAAATCTCCAATAATGGTGAAGGGAGGAGATTTATAATCCACTAATCTAGTATAAATTGAGGTCTTCCAATGGGGAACATTAGTAATTAACTTGTTAAACATAATTAACCAATTGGTTAGAATGGCCTTCTTGGTGTAAGAGTACTCACAGTGGATTCCTATGCATGTTTATAAACAAATCTCCATTTTAAACTCAGTTAAATATATATCACAGGATGACTGTACAACCTAAGGTGACACCATTCCAACATTCTATAGGGTGTAACCTTCTGCCCTCTGATCTGGCAATAAGTCCCATTTTCTTTTAATCCCTATTTACAAACAGTTGGATTCAGCTTCTTTTCCATTAACAAATAATTCTGAATGGAAAGGATAATCTAAGTGTGATTTTCAGCAGTTTTCCGGCTTGTAGGTCAAAGTTTCTCTCTGTTTTTAGGAGGTCTCCAGGAAGTAGAATATAAAGGAGTGCAATGAGCACTCTTCCTTTCTGCAGCAAAATTTTTCCTTGGATCTGAAGGCTCTCATCTATATGAGGCAGGATCCAGATCTAATCCTGTATTAAGTGTGTTTAATCTGAGATATAAACAACCCACAGGCTGGGAATGTTGCTTTGGATTATTTCTTGAAATTTTACCCCAAAGCATATTCCATGTTCTTTTCAATTATTTTCTCTACCTATAAACACTTTCCAATTTATTATTTGATATGGTAAAATGACCCCATATTGGATATTTTAGACACTTAGATTAACCAACATATTTACATTTCTTTTGGAGATGGGAGAAAAAAGCATGAGTTATCTCATTTCCTTTCTTGTACACAAAAGAGAGAAACATGTTCCCACGATAGAAATGTGTTTGTTTATTTATTTATACTATTTTATTATTAATAAATAACTCAAGGGAGCAAACATATCTAATACTCCTTAAATACCTTAAATATTTTTTTCCTTTTCTTCTTGAAAGTGTGCCAAAAGAAGGGAAAAGTACAAAGAGTCATGGGCAATGTATAATACACTTTTATATCTTTCAGATTTAATGGTATGAAAAATTTATAACAGTGTCAAATCACATAGATTTTCTTTGCTAAAATTTAACCACTTAAAAGACATTTGGTGGTTTTTAAAAACTTATTTTTAATTGTAAGAGCAACATGGTTATTTGTCCAAAATTTTGTATTTATCTGTGGTCAGAGCTCAGTCCAGAATATCCAAGATGTGAGAAAACTTTGGCAAGGTTTCATTTCTTCATGCACCCCTACCATTCCATTCCCTATCAATGGTTTTCAAATTACAGAAAAGAATATAAACTGCATTTTTGTGAGAAACTGGTGGTTACTGAAGTCATAGGGTATCATGTTAGACCTAACTCCAGTTGTCCTAATGCTACTCTCTGTAACATAGGGATAATTATACTGCTACCACACTGAGCTTCTTGGGGAATACTACTAACCTCATTCTCCTGCTAAAAACATGGGAGGTCACAATTATTGCTGCTCAGAAGCTAGTCATTTGTTGTTCCCGTAAAAAAGGGCTGTCAAACTCACGGCCCGTGGGCCGGATGCATCACAGGCTGGCCAGGCCCATGCCAGATTTAGCCACATGATTTGCCTCTGTGATATGAGTTTGACATCCCTGCTGTAAAATGTCATTTAGTATTTCTTGCCAGCCAGCATAGTTTTAACTCTGTTTATTGGCCTGTGCCAGGTATCTCCTCTATAAAGATAAGGAGCCTCACTATCTCACCTGTCAATCATTTCTGTATTTCTCATGTGATGAGGGATTCTCATTTAGTTATTAGATAGTAACAAGAGTTGCTATTTGCCATTTTCTATGCTGGTTTCTTCTTGTAGTCTTCATAGTCTTGATTTAACTAAAGTTTACACTATGACAGCTATAAATAATGTAAGAGTCAAATTCCAAATATGACATGACAGCAAAAGATACCTTGAAGGTGTGCATCAGAGTAGAGTGGGGTTTCACCAAAATTATCTCATCTCTGTAACTTTTATTATGGCTCTGCATAATTTCAGAAACATGTACTGTCTTCTCAAAGAAATAGAGCGAAGAGAGTTTTACCTAGGTGTTTTCTCCAGTGTGTAATCAATCATTCTGTACATTTGATCTGTTACCAGAAGGAACCTGGAACAAAGGCTAATAAAGGTTCTAAAGGGAAGAAGGATGAAAAACAGGACGCTGCAAAGGAAGGTACTACACCATCTGAAAATGGTGAAAGTAAAGCTGAAGAGGTACTTTATATATCCTGCTGATTCAGTCAGTGTTTTACAATTCAGTTTCTGAGCTGTTGAAAGCATGTTCATAATACTTTTTTTGTTGCCCCCGCAATGTTATTACAGATTCTCATCTCTCGCTCAGCTGTTAGTGTTTCAACATCCAGAGGTATCCCACCCAGCACATGTCAGTAAAAGGGCAGATTGAAACAGTGAAATTTTTAAGGGTACAGTAGAGCAATCTGAATATGCAGTGAATAGGAGCAGGTAGTAGTGTGGTGCTTTTCATTGTGAACAATGGAAGCTAGCAGGTAAGGTTTCTATGGCTTTTACAAACCAGGAACCTGTAAATGTAAGAATATTTATAGTTGTCCTGTCTATAATACAATAGTTGTAAAATAACCTGTTTCGTCTGCTTCAAACCTTTGTAGCCAAAGAAACATGGCGAGTGCTGAAAAGTTGTTTAGAGAAGATGAAGTAGGGTTAGTCTTTCTTTATAAAAGGCAGACTGGCATAACATTTTCCCTTTTCCCTTTTACAGGCACAGAATTGAATCAGTAGATGACAGGTGCATATGAACTGACATGAACATTTGAGGATGTTTTTATGTACCTCTTGACAACTTTTAAAAGATATTTTTATCAAGGATTTTGTAAATGCTAATTTTTTAGGACTTACAATAAGTTGATAAACTATATATGAACACTTCTTCCTTCTGTATCAGTACTTCTAGAAATTCCCAACGTTGTCAAGTTAAGGGGAAAAAAAGCATCATTAACACAACTTTTGGAAAACAAAAGTATTTATAAAATTGAACAAGCATTCCATATATTTGCTTTTCAGAGGTGTAAGTCTTGGTGCATATAGTGACGTTTTTACTATGGGTGTTAGATATTTTTTTGCCATTTTCCCCCTAGAGCAATAATCTGTGGTGCTTTTGTAATTAAGGATTAAGTGTTTTTAATGAAACATGTATACATTTGGCTACCTGCTGCCCATCTGGATCCTTTTTGTTTTTTAAAAATAACAAAGTGTCAATGCTAACAAATGAGGTTCATCAGTACCTTTCTAAATCAGAAATATGCCTTGTAATGCTTGTCAGAAAAATATTAAGCACACTTGTTTAGAAATTTTGATATACCAGTTGTTTCAGAATCAAGATTATAGCTTGTAGAAAACGGGGCTTACAACATAATGCAAAAAAATTGATTGACTTTATGTTTAGGAACAAGAGATAAGAATATTTACAATTCATGCATTTTAAGCAAACTAGCAGAGCTTTAAGAGGCAGCCACCCCCTTTGCAGAGCTATTTGCCAAATATACCAGAACACCCAAAGCTTGGATGCAAAACTAGAGTCTGATGAGCGATCTTACACACCTGGATGGTTCACACATCTTGAACGCCTTATACTTTGTACAGAAAAACGTAAATGGCCCATGGATTATGTAACAAATTATTTTTTCAGCACTGTTTCATGTTACATTATTGTAAGTGGAAATTAGTTTATGCTTTCTTGAAAGAACAGTTGTTTCACTTTTGTATCTTTCTCTTAACTGTTTCCCAATCCATATACATAGATATTACTATGAAAAATGCAGTTCCTCTCAGCTTAACCTTTAGTATTTTCTGTTGCTTTTTTGCATTTACTTAATTTTTTAATATCGAAATGGAGATTTAAAACACTGGGCAATGAAGCAATGATATAAAAATATCTTTGAAGGAGTCTATAATTGTAATGATGTTAAAATAGGGATTTTTTTTTCTAACTCATATTAATACTGCTTTAGGCTCTTGTAAGCATCTAGTTATTTCTCTCTTCTTTTGGGCTGAAATTTGAGTACTTTTATTTTCTGAAGGTTTGGAAAAATTTTCTTCATAACATTTTTATTGCTGCACTTGTGGCCATAATGTTTGGAGTTATATGCATGTTTCAACCAATAAAGTAATTATCATCCAATCCAAATGTCTTTATTTAGTATTTAGCAAAAATACTAACAATAATGATTAGCTACTTTTACAAATCTTACTTTGTTTTAAAAGAGATTCAGTTCCTCTTCTAGACTTATGTTTCTGGAGAAAATATATGATATAATGTAATAAAAAAACATTTCATGTGTGGATATACATGATAAATACAATATTATACATTGAAAGCTTGAAGATGTGAAAATGATTTTTCCCTAGTCCATATCATTTTGCAAAGATTCAAAGCATTTTGAATAATACGCAGCTCAATCTTTTCATACAGTAAAACATAACACAATTTGTGATTGTTTTCTAGAGTAAAACCCTACTGATTTTCTTCTTTAGCTTTTATCACAATAAAAACTAATAATAGATTTATGACATACAAACACTAATGAATTTCTTTGCAGCATCTTTTTGATGTAGGTTGCTCTTATTCCCCATTTTGCAGTTAGATAATTAAGACACAAGAGGTTCATTGCCCTCTCTTTAAAGGTTTTCTACTAATACAAGAAAAAGAATGAATAGTACTTACATTGCCCTAAAACTGAAAAAAAGAAAACAAAAAAAAGTTCATGGGAAAATTAGAAATTAAATCAAATGCTCCTGTCATAATTAGAGACTTTATTATCACATGTCCATGATTTCTCCCCATGTCTAATATATTTTAAAACTTCTTTTACTAATTATCCATTGGTTGATAAGGTGTAATTTATACAGATTTCAAATTATACAAAACGCAATTTTAGTTTGCTGGATGGATCTGAAAAAATACATTACATTGGGCCATACATTTTATGTAATGCACAATTGTAGGTAAAATCTGTAAAGCTGGTTTATTTATTGATCAAAAATAGCACTCCATATTTAAAATGTTAAGTGTTCTTCAAAAGCCCTTTTTAAAAGTATATTTGAATCCCATTTAGTGTAGATTTCTTTTCTATAGCAATTAACAACCTACATTTAAGATAGTACATAGAAAGAAATGGTAGATGACGAGGTAAAGCGTACATTGTCTCAGTTTACTTAGAACACATACAGTGGTACTATGATGGAACTATTCTTTGCTAAGAAAACACAAATTAACATCTACTTGGACATTTTTTTTACTCACACATGGTAATAGAGGAGAGATGGGGAACATATGTAATGGCAAGCATTGACCCTCCCAAATATCATTTTCCATCAATATGGACTCTGACATAGGCTATAGGGTAAACATCTAAGTAGAAACCTCACTTGCATGCAGAGGCTAAAATTAAGGTTCTAGGTTTATAAGAAGCCTGAAGCCTGCAATGGAACACAAAGTCAGCAAAGGTAACTCTTGGTACTCAGAAGGCGGAGATGGTGAATGGAATAGAACTGTCACTTTTACATTACAGTTCTTCCTCTTCAATTTTCAATTCTTTGCACCATTGAAGCATACATCAGAATTTTTGGCAGCATCCTTTCTCACACCGTTAAGTTAATGTATAGGTGACGAGGTAGGATATTTGGTCGGTAGTGAAGAGTATTTTTCTCATAGCACTTGACGTTTCTACAGTTTGAAATAATTACAAAAAGGTAAACTTAAAAAAGTAAAATTGTGTGAGAAATATAAGTGATTGCATAATTACGTTGTACAACAGTTATTAGAAAATCCAGTTCTAAGAAGCAAAGATCCAAATAGCAATTAATCGATGTAGGTGGGCCTCGCTGATGAGAAAGTCAAAGGGAGAAAATGCATACCTTATTTTTATAAGATTGAGATCAAGAAAAGATCAGGAAAAGTTGCAAACTAAGAAAATAGGAAAACTATGCAATTAGTGAGATTAAAAGGAACTGAAATAAACTTTGAAGATAAGGGAAGTTTAATCTATAAACCAAAATTACAAAGCAGAAATCACCACAAAACCTCAGAGTTAAGAGAAACAGTATTAAGACTAGTAGAATTCAGTGTTCATAAAAATACACCTGTTTGCCTCTAATTTCTCTGGACAGAAAATTCCATTCATGGCACATCTCAAGTAAAATTACTGTACCTTTCAGACCTTGAATAGCAGGGAGACCTGGATGATAACTATGCAGTTTTTTGTAGCAGAAAATATTCTTCAAGTAACTTGAGTCCTGAGATATAGGGTTTAAAAGACCTGTATTTTGAATTAAAATTGATTGGTAGCTAGATAATTTTAGCAGTATTAAAGATACTAAAAATATAATAAGCCCTCTCATTTTGAGATTTAAAAGAACATGTTGATGTGAAGTATATGCATTAAGAAATTCTGCATCACTGTAAATAAGAATTATTAAATACCCATGGCTTTAATAGTCCATAAAAGAATTTTACAAAATGTGAGAGATAGGCATTGCTGGCATTTCTCATTTGAAGGTGAATTGTAACTTTGAATGGTCACTCCACACAAGCAAAGTACCAGTAAAGGAGGGGGAAAAAACTCCAGAGACGTTCCTGAGACAGGAAGTCTAGTCCTGCCAAGAATGTAATAAGGGTTAACGGAGAAGCAGTTTCTGTAAGCAACACCAGAATGTTTCCTTCCTGCCTTCCTTACAGGATTAGACCAGTAATTTTTTCTAATGAACGGTTCTCCAACTGCTTAGAATGTTAACAACCGGTTGTAGCGAATAGGTGCAAACTGGTAGAATCCCACCCCTGATTATTACCAAAGTATTTTACTGTACGAGGACGAGGAAAACAGGAGCATTCAACTTTCCTACTCTGCTTCCGAAATCCCTTGCTGTGGCATTAAGGGAACAGGAAGACACCAGACTCCACTTCATCATCTGTCTTTCTAATAAGGGAGCAGGTGCTGTTTATCTGCTTCAGCTTTGTATCTCTGCTTTTCTGCCTGAAATAAGTCTCTAGCCAGACACATTAATGCTTTCACCCTGGGAACCACTAGAGAGTGGAAGTTTGAGTATAACTGCTATGTCAATAGGGATGTCCATCTTTTATTTTTTGCTTTCTTTGTAATCCAGATACATGAAGCAAATATAATTTCAACTCTTTCTTATGCTCAATGACAACTACTACTTTGCGTACCATCAAGATTTGTTTAGGTAAACTTAAATATTGTTTTCTAGGTAAATGGCTAATACCTTTCAGTAGGTATGTGAAAGACTAAAAGCTGGTCTGGTTCATAAAATTATGCTTTACTTCCTGGCAAGATAACTAGTCAACCACACAAATTTCTATCTAATTTGTGCATTCTTGCAGTTCCCACATCTCCTTTGTTATCACATTTCTCATTTAGTAGTTAATTTCACTATATTCATTTTTTGCAAGTATGCTGCATGTAGCAGTCTTAATCTCAGGAGGAGTTTTTGAATCATCTAGAACAGGGTTCTCCAACCTTCTGGACCTCAGGGACCAATAAACTCATAATTTTAAATCCCGCGGACCAGAGATCCTGGAAAAATTCCAAAAAAAGTTTGCAGGAAAATTCCCTACCCTGTTTTCCTATCGATGGATCATTCTTTATTTGGGATTGCAGGATACCGTCTCCAGCTCAGTTCTCAGGGGGAGAGAGAGACTTTTGGCTTCTTGCAAGGAAAGCAGCAGAAGTCTTTCTTTCTCTCTCCCAAACTCCTCCAGAAATGAGTCTTCGTGAGATTTGTTGCGCTGGCACAGCCTCTTGGAACAGGATGCCTTACAAGGTCCCAAAGACTCATTTCTGGTGGAGTTTGGGGGAGAGAAAGAAAGACTTCTGCTGCTTTCCTTGCGTGCAGCCAAAAGCAGCAGAAGAAAGCAGCAGCCCGGTGTCTAGGCCAGGCACATGGGGAAGTTCCCCCCTGCACCCTTTCCCCCCTCCCCTCACTACCTCATGTTGTTTGCAATACAAGCGACGTAAACCTTGTGTTCTCACGGGCCATGTGGGCAACACAGCCTTGTGTTCCTGTGCAGCCTGGATTAATTTCTTTGGGGGCAACATTTCTCTGTGGACCACCAATTTTCTTGCGGACCACCAGTGGTCCCCAGCCCACTGGTTGGCAACTACTGATCTAGACTGCTGCTCTCTTAGGACCCTATTAGAAAGTGAAAATTAATAAGCACAAATGACTCTATTTAAGAAACCCTTATGGTCTCTTGTAATATAATATTTCCTATTAAATATGAACAGATGAACATCTCTAAAACAGGTATAACTGGGCAGCTTCAGAGTTGTATTAGAACATATATACATATTTAAATTTGGTTACATATTAATGCAGATATTGATGAAGTAACATTAATTTATCCATATAAACTTAATTTCTAGTTATATGTAATTGTTTCTTTTTTGAGATCCATATAACAAGCCCACGGATGTCGATGTCTTTTCAGGTATGCAGGCAGTCTACTATTTTAGCAAAGTTGCTTAGATTGCAGTGATTAATTACATTTCTGTGTTACATTTCTATATAGTTAGTATTTTTTTTAAGCAGACACCACTAGCACACTGTACGAAACAACGTTTGGTAATTTTTTATCCTTGAACCTGAGAATTTTGAATTATTTAAATGTGGTCTTGAATGTAATATCATTGCTGTCAACTCAAAGAATTTTATTTCAATAGCACACACATGCACACATACAAAGTAAAAGTACAGTAATTGTTAAAAGATTTAAAGCCTCCTGAAAGCATGGTTATTCAAATAAGCATTCACGAAAAGATAGCATTTATCACGAAGGCCAGTACTTCCCAGCGTACCACATTCCAGATGTCTGGGATTTCGCCTTCCATAATCCTCAATTCAGCATATTCATTAACATTTAGAAGATAACAATTTGGAGGCCATCCTGACTATCTCTGATTTTATTTCTTGTTCACTCAGAATATACTTGAAAAATCCATCATTATTACCAATGTCTGGCATCACTAATTTAGCCTTAACTATAAATGTTGAATGTGAAAATAATCCCAATATGCTGCACTGAAGTTGAATATTAATATTTTTAGCATGGATTTTAGTCCACCAATGCTTTCTGTTTAAGAAGATACATAGT